GGTTGAATTTCGTTCGCAAATTTGATTGCATCAACATTTGTTCAACGCCTTATTTAGTCTAATCATCAAGTTCACAAAAATGAAAAATAGAGATAAAGGTCCTAAGGACCTTTAGGATTTTGGTGCAGGTAAAAAATTGCAATTGTTATCAACAAAATAAGATTTTACAAAAAAGGCATTAAGTGTTTCGTTAATAACTCAAAAAATATTAATACTTAAACAATTTTGAAAAGAGCTCGTTGAAAAGGAGGAAATTTCCGATAAAAAAGTCCCGGCTCCCGAAACTCTATCTCCATTATTTATAATTTTAATTTGACGTTGAAAATAGGGTTCCGCGCGGCTGTTACGGCATGCGCGCGCTGCCGCTAAAGAGAGTTTATCAAAAGAAATAATTATTTTTTTATAACATTAAATGTCATTTTGAAAATTTAANATATAAATTCAATAATATAATGCAATCAATAAATTTTAGTATTAGGATCACAACTCAATATTGTTCGCATTTCTTTAGCATTCACAATTGATAATAAAAATCAATACTTAGGTATAAGTGAGAGAAATATCAAATTTTATTTGAAATGAAACTTGAAGGGAAATATTCATCAATAGTGTAAAAGATTTCACTTGGCACTATTTGACAGTTCTTTCATTTACTAATTTAAAGTACCTTTTTGATGTTTTTCGGCAATTTATTAAACAACTTGATTTCCATTAAAATCAGGACTGTATTCCATTGTCATTAATCTGTGAGAAGTTATTTCAAGTTGATGTCCTGTGTTATAAGCACTCTCGTAACTACTTGAACATTTGAGATTTTTTAACGTATAGCAATAGACAAATGCAGATGGTGACAAAGGTTAGAATATTCAGCTTCTGGAATAGTTCCTTATATAGGATTTGTTTGTTATCCCCTATTTAGAATTCATCATTGATCATCGCCTTAATGGAACGCCGAAAAACTAATGGAAATGTATAAAACTCAGTTTATATTGAAAATTTTCTTACCTCTCTTATTGAGGTTCATGTAATATTGTATGAGGTAAATGCTTTGGCGAAGAGAAAATGATTTGCTCTTTGCGATTACAGTTCTTCGTTGAAATCCTCTCCTCAACAAGTGAGATAAGATCAGGTATTTCTAACATTATGTGGATGAATGGTATTGTGTACAGTTGTAGAGCAGGTCAGTTTGATTCCTGCAAACATGTTGCAACTTCATAGTATATATTAATCGATTAATAATGATAATGAGCAATAATAATGAGCTCCATCGTTACAATTAGCATTCAATATTTAGTTATAAGGAATTGAATAAACTTTATTCAGTCTTTTCAACTTTTTACCTTTATTATTTAAAATATAATTGGTTAGATAGAGTATTGTACATACCTAGAATAAAATCAACTTTGTTTGTTGAAATGTTTAATGCAAAGGCACACACACACATAATTGGTATACCGATCTTGAGTATAATTCTACATTCCTTTACTATTTTCGGATCATTACATCTACTGGGAAAAAGCTGACTTTTATATTTATCAAAACGACTATTTCAATTGATAAACGTGACAATCATTTTCCTCGATATTATTTGGGTTCCTAACCTTCCCCCCGAAAATCGACTACGTAATATAAACCTTTGAAGAGTTCAATACTTAGCTTGGCGTAGTGATTTTTTATAAAAAATTGCTAATACAAATACAGAAATGTCATAGAATACCCAGTGAACATTTTGAATTTTGTCCAGTACTAGACCTTCCATTACTTGACAGTTCACAATAAATGTTCAAAATAAGCATTCAACAACGGTGTTTCCAATATAACTGGGTCACCATGTATGATAATTTCTTTGCAACCAAATTCTTGTTTTTATTACCTAATCTTACCCGTTGTCCCCGTGACGCGACGGCCATCTTTAAAAAACTCTCATAAAGAATAGACGGCTTACGAGGGCTTCTCCTATTGCTGACGCATCTCTGTCTCCAGTTTGTGAAAGATGGAATCTTTATGTAGAGCCTCCGGCACACCGCGATATGTCCGATGACACGATGTAGAAGTGTGATTGTATTCTGGTCCTCGGGACATTTTCCGTGCCCCGATTTTCCGGCTGCTGGATTTATCTGCCGCCCTCCGAAAGACGTTTACATTTTACAGAGCCGTTTCTTTCGCATAAAACAAGCTAAAATTGACATTGATAGATTTTTTGCTCGGTGGATATTTTGAATACGGGCTGCATCAGCCGTTTGTGTTGGCGAGGACGGCGGATTTTCTGAAAGGTGCTATTTGGATTATAGATAGTAAGCAAATATTTAAGATTCGGAGTTCTATTGAGATATGTAATAAACGGAATGATTTTCAAATATAGAATCATGAGAAAAACTTGTTGAAACAGTATCAAACAACGTGAATATCATCCATCGAGCTTCCCTCATAAAATTTGAGGTAGAAGAGTGAAATTTTTGAAAATTGTTTCGTGTAGAAGTTTTAGATATCAATATATTGAAGTGATCCCCAAAACTTAAGTTCACATTCGCAATTGTTTTCAATTCGATGTTTTCAACGAAGAGTTACCATTCTTGGAAGTCTTGGCGATTAGTAGTAACCATAATATAAAATTGCAGGTCTATACAATACCATCACTTTCAGAAATATTTCTGAAAGTTCATCTCATTATTTTCCCCAAAAAAAAATAATAGGACTACACTTTCTCGTCCATAGGTTTATTGTTCTAATTTGTGATATTTCTCTAAGATCAGTAGAGTGTTAAGATACTTGAGAATGGTGTAAAAACCGAAACCTTGGTCGTATTATTATCAATACATTAGGTGGAAATTAGACAAAGTATTTTATCTATATCATTTAATTGTTTATTGTTCTATTTCTCCCGAGTAAAGGAAGATACGATATTGACGAAATGTTATCAGGTACATAGCTGAAAGCATTGGGTATCTTTCATATACAGTACATTCCATTTAAATCGAGCCACCCTGAATAACTTTTGGTACAATGATTTTCAGGAAAAATAAAAAACACGTCAAATAGTATACAGGGGGACATATTTTGACATATTCTTCTTCTGTCGCACCCCCAGAACATGTCATCAATTTTTTTAATGGATCACCCTATATTGTTTCGCTCCAGATGCTCCATGATAAGCAGATTTCAACAAAGTATAAAACATATGGTCTGAAGCTTATAGTTCGGGAGCTACAAATTATTTCAATTGAAAACGAGCCACCCTGAATAACTTTTGAAACAATGATTCTTGAATCAAAATCTGATGACTGGACAATGGGAAGAAAAAAATGTTCTATAGTAAATGTTCAAAAACGTTTTCACCAACGTCCATACAATGTTACAAACGAACTTCCATTACCGCTCTCACATGGTTGAGAATATCGAGAATTATTTCATTGCAATGCCTCATGATATTCTCTCTCAAATCTTCTAATGTTGTTGATTCTATCTCATACACTTTAAACTCCAAATGATCCCATTGGATGAAATCTACAAGAGTGAGATCCATAGACCTTGGTGGCCATTCTGTAGGACTTCTTCTGCCAATCCAGCGACCAGGAAAATGATCATCCAAAAATTGTCGTACTGGAGCTGCATAATGGGGAGGTGCACCACATCCTGCTAAAAAACTATTTCGTTTTCGAATAAATTTATATCCTCCTCAATTGCTCTATTGATTCACGGTATTATTCGATTCTCCAACATATCCAAATATTTATCACTAGTCAAATTATCATCGATAAAAAAAGGTCCTATGATGCCCAAACATTCAGTTTTTGAGGTGGTTGGGTATGAACTTGTCGGTATAAATGAAGATTCGTATCACTCCAATATCGACAATTTTACCGATTCACCTCTCCATTCAAACTAAACGTACATTCATCCGAAAAAACAAATTTTATACAAGAAATTATGATGCAAGTTGATTCGTTCAGCGAGACTTTCACAAAACACAATACGTCTATCGAAATCATCTTCGTTCAATTCATGAACTAATCTTATCTAGCTGAATGAAAAATAAATTTTACCTCTGGCACAATATGGATTTAGCAGAGGAAATAGTTGCACTATCGCAAGGGGAAGATATCAGAGCGTGACAACAGAAGCCTATCAGTTTGACTTTCTCGAATTAAAGTCGGGAGTGCCACACAGTACAATCCTAGGACCACTACTTTTTTCTATTGATGCCAGCCTATTCGTTAACTCCCTTACACGTTGTTCTTCTCTTCTGTACGCAGACGATACCCAGATATATATCTCTTTCAAACCTGAAGATGCAGCTAAGGCTTGTGTACAAGTTATTAACGACATCAATAATTTTGTTGAAACTGCAACTGATTATTATCTAGTTAACAACCCAAGAGAGTCTAATGTTTTAATCTTTGGGCCAAAAAATGTCAGGGAGATAATTGAAGACAAAGTAAAATTGAAAATAAATGACAATGACATGTCCATTGTAGATCAAAGAAAATGTCTGAGGCTGATTTTCGAAAATTATTCAAAATTCGAAACCCACGTAAAGAAACGTATTCAAAAGGCTTATGGAACTCTTAAGATTCTTTATGGAAATAGAAACTTCCTTACAAAGGCAACAAGAATAATGTTATGTGATGAATGATGATTAGAACATTACAAACTACTTTGGAGATCCCTATATCCGTACCTACAGTACATTTTAAGTAAGAATGGATGTGGCTTTCTACTTCTCCATTTTTATACACAAAAATGTGGGAATCCTCCAAAGAAAGGAAGAGAACAATCATTTTAAAAAAATCAATTTTATAACTACATCAATTATTTGAAAGACTAACAAAAATCTATGCGTATTTCCTATTGTTGAAATACAAACGAACAAATTTTCGTAGTAATAGCACAGACCTTAGATTAGGTATATCTTTCCTTGTCTAAGGCACAGACTGTGGTAATAGCACAGGTAATAGTGTTACAGAATTATTCTGTGGTAGTGTTTTGAGTTTGACATTGACGTTTAACGACTGTTATTTATTTTCAATTCAAGCAATTCTTCAGTTTGATTAGTGTGTAGCCGTTTTTATTATATTTATATATAATTGTGGCAAATCTGGATGAAAAAGAAGAAATAATGATTGCTGCCTCAGATCCACAGGTTTTACATCAGCGTAGTTGTTAATCAAATTTTCTTTAATTTTATATCATTTTTAGGAATTTGTTCCCAGTGGCCGGCAGCAAGCATTACGCCACCCGGGACCTCTTGAAACTCCAGTGAAAAAGAATCCATTAGAATTAGATGATCTGATTTTGAGTAAACTCCAGAAAGTGTCGTTGATTGATAAATGTAATAATGAATGGTGGATTTTACGCAAAGCCACACTGAATACCCATTTCAAAAGTGAAACATGCAATATAGACAAAATTGAGACAAACAAGAGTTATAGTCATCAGAGCAGTTATAAATCGCGTTATAGTGATTTCATCAATGAAACTTCAAGTTTGCATAGTAACTGGGAGCAAAGCTTTGATAGGTAACGACCCTCGCTAGTTATTGTACTTCAATTGTACTGATCACAAATCTGAAGTGAAAACCTGGCATTCCGCTCAATTTTCAGAGATATGATTGAAAATCGGCTATTTCAGAAACTCAACTTTTGGATATAAAAACTCCCAAAAATACACCTTTTCACGATTTTATCCTTGAGACCTTCAATTACCAGCCTCTTTCATTTTTTTCATACAACAAACAAAATTGTTTGTTTTCCAGTGAAGCACATCATACTTGTTTATGAAATTAGGTAAATGACTCTTTTTCAAATAATTTTTTCTTTGCAGCGTTACAAAATTGAAATAGAAATGGATGTATTTTTGTGAAATTCACATGAATATCAAAATGATAAAGAAGGTGAACCTCTTTTTTCATCATTCAGTATGTACCTTCCACAATTGATCATGTTTGTAGTTTGTAGAAGACTGAATTGACAATAAATAAGAAAGCTTCTAACAAAGTGATGATGTTTTACTTTTGTAGGGAAAACTGAGTAAAATTTTCAAAATTTGCCAACAAAATTTTTATTTCTTCACATTTTAATTCATAATATTGACAACAAATGAAAACAAAAAATCTAGGAAACCAACAATGTTATTTAGTATATGATACCAGTAATAGGGTCATTTTGGTGAAATAGAAGTATTTTATTCTGTGAAAACATTTGGAATAAAGGTCTGCAGCATGCAGCAGCAACTTTTCAAAAATTAGCGCAAATTATTAAAATGAATATTTACCCTTCGCTAGGTTTGGAAAGAGATTGTCTGAGGCCAGTACTTCTAAATTCATCAACAGAAGATTATCAGTTGACAGTGATTCTAAAAGTGACTCTAAAACAAGTGATACCAATAAATTTCAATACAACAAAGCACCCATTGCTGAGAACACTGTTTTTCATGGAAAACCTAATCCAACACACTTAGAAGACGAACTTTATGTCCAGGGTAACACTGTGATATGGTCTAGAGGCGTTGTCAATAATTCAGATGACCTTGACAATGGTAGAAAAACTGTATGTTGCTACACATCCTCTTCGCCCATAAAGCAAGCTCTTTGGTGTACTTTTTACTGTGAACGACCAGTATTTGAAGAAAATCTTCTCGATCAGGTGAAAACTGACGAACCATGTGGCATTCCTGTAGAAGCAGTTTGTGTTGCAGATTCTTATGGTATTAGAGTTTACACACCAAAGGGCGAAAATTATAGTGTAGCTGTGCCATTTGGTATTAGTAAATTGTGGAATATCAAATTTGGTATGCTTATCGAAAAAGAAAATGGAGGTGAGATATTTTATCAATTGATAAAATCAGCAGGTACTGTAGTAGAAATGTAATTAATTGAATAGAACTGGCTGATACTTGATGAAAATCCATATTGAACAACTAATTAATACAGTTTAATGTATGATTTCCATGCTTGAGGAAGCTATTGTATTTTTTTTTTGTACCTTGGGAGCTGCCTGACTTGTCCATTTAGTCCAAGTCTCCAGGAAACACTGCAGCCTCTTGGGCTTATTGCGTTTATTCTCCCATCTTCTCATGACACCCATTCTATCAGTCTCGTTCCCTGTACTAGTTTGTACAGGTTCCGTGTTGGATGTTCGTCATATTCTTCTGGGCGTAGTTTTGTACGTCCATATATAGCCTGCCTCCTGTGATTCAGTGCCTCACTTTCGCATAAGATGTGTAGATCTGTTTTTATCCCTTCGTTGCATAATCTGCAGCTGAGATCTCCGTTGTATAGCCCCATTTTATTCAGGTGTCCTCTAAGCCGACAATGACCGGTTAGTAACCCTGTAATTATTGTGAGCCGATCCCTACTATATTGAAATAGTTCTTCGGTTCTTTTCTCGGACGGTTCCCTCATGAAGGTTCTACTGTGTTTGTTGCCAGGTACTTTTTTCCAGTACTCTGTGTGCTTCTTATTGGTCCATGTCCTAATCTGGTTTCGTACTAATGATTTTGGTACCCCCAGAGCTGGTTCAGGACCTATATTTGAAGTTGATGAACCGCATCAAGCACATTCATCAGCTTTATCATTACCTGTGATTCCTGAATGCCTTGGCACCCAGTACAAAGTTAATTTTTTCCTGTTTGCAAGTTCATTCAGTTCTTCATGGCATTCCCAGACCAGTTTTGATGTCACCTTCGGGTTTGTTAGAGCCCCTAGTGCGCTCTTGCTGTCTGTAAAAATATTGATCCGCTCATTTCTTTGAGGTCTGAATTTAATAAGCCTTGCACACTGCAAGATAGCATACACTTCCGCCTGAAAGACGGATATAGTCCTAGCGGATAGCTGTAGTTTAGATTTCTATCCGCTTGGTATATTCCAGCTCCCGTTCCATGTTTGGTCTTCGATCCATCTGTATACCGGGTGTTTTTTCCAAACATGTTTTCGGGATGACTAATGGTCTTCCACTCTTCATGGCTCATGATTTTGGCGGTGAAGTTTGTGTTAAAGTTGTACTTCGGTGTCATGTGGTCCGTACACATATTCAATATGTGCTCCTCCACTTGTTCCGAAATTTCTGTTCGCTCCGATCTTTTGTAGTTCGGTGAGTTTTCCAGTCTGAATTGGTCCATCCTGGCTTCCCCCATTATCACAAAGTATAAAGGAGGTAGATTCAGGAGTGTCTCCAATGCTTCTGTTGGGGTAGTTCTCATTGCTCCCGTCATTCCCAAACATGCAAGTCTTTGCACCTTACCTAGTTTGTTGATAGCGGTCGCCTGCTTCATCTTTGGCCACCAGACCAAGATGTGTATGTTATCATGGGTATAACCACCATCGTGTATAGCCAATATACCATGTCTGGTTTTAGCCTCCATGTTTTTCCATAGGTACGTCTGGCGAGCATCAGTGCTACCTCCGCTTTCCTCTTTATCCTGTCCAAGTGTTGGTTCCAGGTCAGTTTGGAATCTAGGATTACTCCCAGATATGTAACCTCCCCAGACACTTGTATTTCTTCACCTCGAAGTTTTAGAGGTCTGAGACCCTCCGTTTCAGTCCTCTTGGTGAATGCTACTATGGTCGATTTGGATGGGCTTAAGTTAAGCCCTTCTTCCTCGGTCCATCTTGTTATAATGTTCAGGGCTTGCTGCATGCATCCCTTCACTACATTATTGTATTTACCCTAGACTAAGATGACTAAGTCATCTGCATATCCCAGTGCTATATACCCATTATGGTCCAAGAGACATAGTAGCTCGTCCATTACAAGGTTCCATAACAGAGGGGATAGAACCCCCCCTGAGGACAGCCCCTTGCTACCCGTGCCACGACTGTTTCCCCATAATGATTGTATATACCAATCTTCCCCTAAGCATGCAGTCTATTCACCTACAGCTTGTCTTGTCGATCCCTCTTCTCCTCGACGCCTGGATGATTGATTCTAACGACGTATTATCAAATGCGCCCTCAATGTCCAAGAAAGCAGCTAAAAGTACTTCCTTGTTGTAAGTATATTCTACTTTTTCTGTTACCCGACATAGAGCCGTTTCTGTTGACATACCTGATCTGTATGCATATTGATCTCGATGTAATGGCGAAACATGTGTAGCGGTTATTGTAAAATCCTTCATAGTGAAAATCATATATTAAACTGTATTGATTAGTTCTTTTAGAAATGTAATTAATTCTTTTCCAAATCAAAACTGTCAGAAAATATGTGTTATTGAACCAAAAGTGGGTTATTTTTTCAAAGAATGTTTCTTGGAGTTTCTGATTTAAATTACTTCAGCGGAATTCGGGTCAATTTTTTTTTTTTTTATAACAGTTCAAATTTGCTATCTCATTGAAAGGAATTTTGAGCTCAAGCGCTTCCAAACTCCAGAGGCCAAACTGCACCAAAGGCTGAAATTATAAAATTCATGAAAAAAGCTTCTGAAGCTTGTACCAAAAGTTTCTGTTGTGCTTTAAACTAATATAAATAAAGTTTTAGGTTTTCCAAAGGAAAGTTTATATGAAACCAGGGGGACATTATTTTCCCTGTCCTATCCTTTGGACGATGTTTGTCCAGTAGTTATAAACCAATCTGGAAGTCTAACAATAGTTAACAATACCAACCTGAAGGTGGTTTTTACAAATGAGAATCCTAGTATATGCATGATTTACGATACAAACTCTAAACAACATAGTGTTTATCGAATAAGAAAAGTTAAACCAGATGAAAAGGATTGTGGAGACAAGATTTCTACTGGATTCTTTTCCAACAGCCAGTCAAATAAGGTATGTATGTTAATGTATTTTTTCATTACTTTTGACAATTGAATTTTTTTAATATGTTCAACCAGTTGACTATAAACGGCCGTTTTCAGAATTTTTTCGATAGGAGGTAGTGTATCAATTGGTCAAAATTAATTTATTTTATTAGTACCTGTTACTTTTTGAATAGGGATAATTGTGCCAACTTTCAATGCATCAGGGTTTCTACCAGTCACTGACAATGTATTTATAAAGTTGAGAAAAACATAAGCATTAGTTTCAATTATATCTTTGAATATTTTTGCATCTAAAATTTCATACAGAATACATTCATTATTCAAAGATTTAAGCAAGTTAGACATTTCAGTTATATTTAGTTATTCAAAATTATGTTTATAATTCAGGTGAGACAGAGGCAACAAGATTAATATTGTACACTTATACTTTCAAATAGTATAAAGTCTATCCAAATCCAAGATAGAGTGAAACAAAACAAAACCGAAGCGTGATGTTCACGTGATCGCCCAGTGTCAGATGGAAAGGACAGCGGTCATTGGTGAATTCGCCTTCTTGGTACGAGTTCGGTACCAGCACAGGGTTGTAATCAGTCGTTTGCGTGTTTGTGCGGCGTGCGTTATAGTATATTGTTTAAAATTGTTTTCCAAAATGTCCAGTACAGACACTGCTGATGACACTGTGAGCTATCCTCTAAGTCCAGCCAGGAAACGATCCAAAAAAAGACATTTGAGTGTTGAGATGAAAGAAGGGATTTTAAATGTGTTCAAGAAAGAGATGGAAGAAATTGAGACATCGACTGTCGACGAAGTCGTATCGAAAGTTTCCGATAAAATTGGAGTGTGTTGCGCTTCGATTTACAATGTTTTACGGGAATATAAACAAAATCATACAATTTCCAAACCGAATACAAATCAGAATCGTCAAACCATTATAAAATCAATAAATGATGCTGATAAGCATGCAATCAGGAGGAAAGTGCATGAGTACTTTTTCAGAAATGAAATACCCACGATAGACAAAGTACTCACAGAAATAAATGAAGTTTATTATTGGATAGAGAGGAAATTGTGTTATGGAGGAGAGAGTATTTGACCAAAATTAAATATTATAGGGAACAACAGAGAACAATTTATTATATTAATGAAACCTAGGTTAATGCTGGTCATACTACCCCTAAAGTATGGGTCGATGAAACTGTGACCTCATCTAGGAGGGCCTTTCTAGATGGACTATCCACCGGATTAACAAATCCATCAGGTAAACTCATATTTATATTAAGACCTGCCTCAATCTCAATATATAAAAAGGAACCCTTGTATTTGTTTTATTTACTTACATACCTCCTCATAATTTCAGGTAAAGGAAAACAGCTCATTATTCGTCACATTGGCAACGAGAATGGGTTTGTTGCTGAAGGGCTGTGGTGTGTCGAGTCGAAGAAAACTGGAGATTATCACGAAGAAATGAACGGTGAATCTTTCGAACAGTGGTTTTCCAAAGTTCTACCCTTATCATTCGCGACGATTAGAGAAGATTCCGACGTCTTCAAAGAAGGTTGAAATCCAAAATTGGCTGCGATCAAAGAATATTAGCTTTGAAGACTCAATGCTAAGAGTACAGTTACTAAAAATTGTCAAGGAGCGCAAGCTTGAATACCAAAAATATATAGTCGATGAGATGGCAGCAGGCCAAAACAAAATTGTCCTTCGCCTGCCTCCATACCACTGCGAGCTCAATCCCATCGAGTTAATATGGGCGGATGTGAAGAATTTTGTTGCTCAGCATAACACCACGTTCAAATTTGCAGATCTCAAAGTACTTTTTGATGAGGTTTTGAAAAGAGTCACATTGGAGAAATGGGAGAAGTGTGTTCGGCATGTGATATCGGAAGTCGCGACAAAGATGTGGAAGCTTGATAACATAATAGAGGCACAAATCAAGCCACTGATAATTCAGATTGGTGCGGATGACACTACTAATGAAGAGACAAATTCATCCAGTTGAATAATTTTGATTAATATTCCTTTTGATTTTACAGAAAATAAAAGTTATCAATAAAGAAATAATTACGTCTCTTTTCATATAATGCTTGAGTGCGCTGTGAAAAATCCAATGAAAATCTTTTTATATTACACATATTATCTGCATTTTTACCGTTAAACTGCAAAACTTGTGCATTTCACTCGTTATTATAAAAAAGTTTTCCTAAGTATGATATAGCATTTGCGATCAATAAGATGTTGGTTCTGAATACGACCCTGGCCAATTCTTGGGATTTTCAATATCACATGAGTAGGGCATGTCAATGTTTACATCCACTCTATCTTGGATTTGGATAGACTTTAGTGTGAGCAGCAAATTATCCTTATTGCTAATTTACATACTTTATGAACAAGCCTGAGGAAACCATTGTATAGTGAAACACATGTTGCGGTTTTGTAAACTGTTTAATGCAAATCTCACAATAAAGTGTTCATGAGATATCAGTCAATTCCATCACATATATCAATTATAACTGAAAAAATAATGGATAACAATAAAAAATTCTGAATAACTAGGTATTTAAATTTTTCAGTTGAAATCTCGTCTATCTATGTGGGAAAATGTAGTGAATACTAGGAATCAACCTACTCCAAGTCCAGTAAGTAAAGGGTCTAATTTAGGACCGGCATATGCGAGATCCCAGAGTTCTATGGCGGTGGTGAGGTACGACAAAATAAAGGAACATATGTCATAATATTCATGCACTCAGTCTTGAGTCGCAAGTCGTAAGAAATCATGACCATTAATTCTCAGTGGTAACATTCATGCTTATATTGGGTGTGCCATGAACTGTTAAAATCTAATTTCCCGCGCAAAAACAAGTGGGGTGGGGCGTAGTTACTAGCTTGTTTCTCAGAAATTTAGTTATAATGCATCGGTTTACAGGGCCACGGTGGAGCTGTTGCTCACCTAAAAAATAGATTGCATATTAATGTGAGGTGCCTGTTTAGTGTTGATTGTAATTTAAATCAGGCTTCCAGTACAGTTTTAATAAAAAGATGGGTAGAAAAGTTCAGGGAAACAGGATCGACACTAAATGCGAAGCAAATTCAGTTTGACACACGTAAACTTTCGACTAAATCAAGAGTATCACTCACATCTTCAAGCCGTATTTTAGATTTAGATTCAAAATTACACTCATATAAGAGCCAAGTGTTGCAGAAATTAAACCTGACGATTTTAATTTATGCAAGTTTTACGTGGAAACAATGTTGAATCGTTTCGGTAGATTTCACAAAATCTTGTATTCCCAACGAAGTTAATTTCCACCTCAATGAATATGTTTGATAAAAAGAACTGCAGATATTGTAGCAGCAAACATCCCAATGCTAAATCTAAAAGGCCTCTTCATTCACCTCAAGTAAATGTATGGGCAGCAATCTCAGGTAGTGGAATCATTGGGCCTTATTTCTTCGAAGATTTTTGCAGTCACACAATCACTGTTAACCCTACTGACTATAAGAATGTTTGAGGAGTTGAGCTACAGGAATTTGCTGGCTACAATCATTATACAAGGTTGCAGCAAGATGTAAACACTTACCACATCACTAAGGACTCTCTCTCATTAGATAAAGACCTGATTTTTAGAAGAGACAACATCCAGTGGCCACCCAGGAGTCCTGATTTGTCACCAGCAGATTTATTTTGAAGGATTGTTTGAATTATCGTATCTACATAAGTAAATTTTGAAGTAACTGTCTACATAAGCCAAATACAGTTCACTTAAAAGCAAAGAAATGTCTTCAATAAATTGATCATGTAGCCGTTACTACGTGGTTGGGAAATAAAACTTCCTATGTTTTTTTACCACTTGTATTTGTCCGTATAGGACGAAACTGCAGTAATGTTAGTTAAAAATACAAGTATTAAAAAAGGTTGGAATTTTTATTTCTCAATTTTCAAAATGTCTACAAACTCACATCATATTTGTTAAAGAATTTTTGAAAATTGCTGTACTCGTGTAGATATTGATATTATTGA